TGTATATAAAGCCAGAATCCGCAAAGTGATGAAAAGGACTCAAATGGACAATGCAGCGTCAGGAAAGCATCAACAAGCAATGTGCATCCAGATACCTACGAAATAGCAAAATGTAGCGCAACAGAAAACTCAAAGATATGACCTGACCTGTCAGATACTGACACGACACTCCATCATACACCACACATGAGAGAGAGACAAGGGACCGCATACGTCGAAGAAAGGTCCCTCCTTCATCATGCACATGGGAAGACACCACGGATGAGGAGATGGGGGGAGAGGCGAGACGAAAATGGAGATGAGGGAGAAGACCAAGATCACGAAGTCCAAAAATAGTCTCCCTGCTGAATGTCCAATCAATGTCCACCACAAAAATGTCGAATCAGATCCTGGGCCTCGGGGCCCAATGTAACCTCTGCCTGTAACCTCTGTCTCTCTCTCTCTGAAAGAAGAAGAAGAAGAAGCAGAAGAAGAAGAAGAAGAAGAAGAAGAGAAGGAGGAGGGAGGAAAGAGGACAGATGGAGGGCGAGAGCAAGAAGAAGAAGATGTCGTCCTCCTCAATACCTCACATGCAGGTAACTGCCACCATGTACTAACTGCCGCCATGTACTAACTGCCGCAAGTGTCTCCTCTGTGCTGCAGGGTGCTGGTGCGAAGACCAGCTATGGAGCCCAGGTAAGATCTCCGCCGACGCAGGTATGGCCTCTGCCTCACTCCCTACCTACACCTCTACCTCTAGCGTAACGCTGTCACGCTGCTCCGGCAGCATATCACCCAAGAAGTGAGCTACTCGAACTGTATGTCCGCCCTGGCCTGGCCGAGCTATATGTAGCGCTGGGCCTCGCCGGTGTGCCTCTGGCCCTGGCCTGAAAAGGACTACTCGGTCTGGGTCCCGACTGGACGTCCAGACCCTCCCTGCTGATGCAGCAGGGACGCTTGCTACCGGGCGAACACGAACCTGGCCCACAAGGGCCTGCCTGCGAGCGTAGAAGGCCAAAAACGTGGCCTTTGTCCAAACAGACCGAAAGTCTGTTTGGACGAACTGCAAGTCCGAAACAACGCCAGAACAAACAAAAAAAGGACAGCAAATAAATAAATAAATAAATGCTGACTCAAATCGAATCCTGCGCCCCTAAGGCCAGCCGTGGGTCTCCAGGACGCATGTCCGAAGGGCGTGCGGCCTGGGGGCCCCCAGCAACCATCGGGCCCCCAAAATGGGGCCCGTGTGCAGGCTCAGCATGTACCTCTTTCTCTTCTCTCTCTCTCTCTCTCTCTCTCTCTCTCTCTCTCATGCACGGGTGGCAATCTCTCTTCAACCTACCTCTATCTCACTGCTCTCCCTTCCCTCACCCCCTTTCTCACATATGCCACTTTGCTCTCTCTTTCTCTCCCACATGGAATGATTTCGTGACTTTAACCCTTCCTCCACCCCGACAATCCTCTAATACTTCCCCTCTCACCACCTCTCTCTCTCTCTCTCTCTCTCTCACACACACACACACACACACACACACACACACACAC